CATACAACTCATCATCAACAAAATCAAACTTAATTAAAAAATAAGCAGAGGATCTGAATGGACATTTTTCCAAAGAAGACATAGAGATGGGCACAGACACATGAAAAGATGCTCATCATCCCTAATCACAGAGAAAGGCATGTTGAAACTGCCATGAGCTATTACCTCACACCTATGAGAATTGTTTTTAGTGAAAAGGCAATAAATTAAAAATGCTGATGAGCATATGGCAAAAAGGAAAATACTGTGCACTCTTCAAAGGAACATAAGTTGGTGTAGCCACTATGGAAACAGTAATAACTCTCTCAAAAGAATTAAGAAATCGAATTACTAAACAATCCAGCAATCCTACTTTGGGGTATTTACCCAAATAAAATAAAAGCACTAGCTCAAAAAGATGTATGCATTCCAATATTCATTGAAGCATTATTTATAAAAGCAAAGATACAGAAGCAATATAAGTGTTCATTGATAGACGGATAATGAATATTTGATACACACACACACAATGGAATATTGCTCAGCTGTAGTAAAAATACATAGTGGGCTTCCCTGGTGGCTCAGAGGTTTAAGCATCTGCCTGGAATGTGGGAGACCTGGGTTCGATCCCTGAGTTGGGAAGATCCCCTGGAAAAGGAAACGGCAACAAACTCCAGTACTCTTGCCTGGAGAATCCCATGGAGGGAGGAGCCTGGTAGGCTACAGTCCATAGGGTTGCAAAGAGTCAGATATGACTGAGCAACTTCACTTCAATTCACTATAGTAAAAATGGAATTTTGCGCTTTGACACAACATGAATGGGTTTGGTGGGTCTTATGCTAATGAAATAATCAAATACCACACAATCTCACTTATATGTGAAATTCACCAAACAGACAAAGGAAGCAAAATGAAAACAGACTCTTAGATACAGACACTAGACTGCTGTTATCAGAAGGGTGGGGTTGGGGGATGTAAAGAAGGTGAAAGAGATTAAGAGGTATAAACCTCCAATTATAAATAAACAAGTTACAGGCATGTAATATATAGCATAAGAGTAAGAGTATGGTTAGTAATATTGTACTATATTTGTTTGGGGACAGATGGTTACTAGACATACTATGGCAGTCATTTCAGAATGTAATCAAAGGTCAAATCATTATGTAATACACCTGAAATCTAATATAGTGTTGTACATCAAGTGTATTTTTTTAATTATTTAAATTTTAAAATATTTTAAATCATCACCTGCCTGCTTTGGACTGAGTTGTGCCTCCCCAAAATTAGTATGTTGAAACCCTAACCCTTGTATAACTATACTTGGAGAGTAGGCCTTTATGGAGATCAAATGGCACCTAGATATATGAGACTGGAGTTTAAAAGTGAGGTTTAGAATGAAGATATAAATTAGGAAATTATTGGCATATAAATTGCATTTAATGCCATAAGACTGCATGGGCTCTCCAAGGATATAAGCATAAAATAAAGAAAAAAGGAGTATGAAAATTGAGCCCTCAAGCATTCCAATAGTAAGAGGTTGTGGAAAAGAGGATTCAACCAAAGATATAGAGAGTAAGCAGCCATTTAGTTTTAGAAAAAGACAATATGATATCCTGACAGATAAAAGAATAAAATCTATCAAGGAAGAGAAAGTAATCAACTGAGTGAAATGCTGCTGACTTGGCAACTATTATGAGGAAATGAAAATTGATCATTGATTTAAGCAAACCAGAGGTCATTCATGATCTTGATGCTAGAAGTTTTAGTAAAATTTTAAGGACTAAAGACTCACAAGAATTGGCTCAAGAGAAAAGGAAAGAAAAGTTAGTGTAGACAACTTTTTTAAGAACTCTTACTACAAGTGGAAGTAGAGAAATCACAATACTCTGAAGTCAGAGATATCATAATTTGCTTATGAATTAGAGTGGCACAAGAGAAAAAGATAGAAATACAGGATGGCCTCAAAGTTTGGGGTACAGCAATTGTCATTCACCAAACAAGGAATACTGCAGAAGTAGGGGAGGAAATTAAGAGTTAACTCTATCTAAATGGAAATGTTTAATAGATTACAGGGCATATGAATTTGGAGTCTAGGGAGGAAGTTCATGGCTGAAAATGTTACAGCCATCAGCATACAGAAGGTACTTAGAACCATGAAACTGGATAAGATCACCTTAGAGTACAATAAAAAAGAAAAGGCAGTTAGTGGAACTGCGGTGCATCTGGAAGATAGAAAGTAGTAATGCAGATTGAAGAGGCATAATTGGGAACAAGAAGAGCGAAAGTTTTGAAAAGCACTTCAAAGAGCAGAGAATGATTAACTGTGTCAAAGCATGATGTAGGAACAAATGAAATAAGGAACAGAGACCCGAGCACAGTGTTTTAGAATAGGAGGTCACTGCTGATCTTGACAGGAGCAGTTACGGTGGATTGCTGGAGGTGAGAACCTGGCTGGAGTGAGTCTGAGAATGAATGTGTGTGTATGTGTGTGTGCTCAGTCATGTCTGACTCTTTGTGACCCCATGAACTGTAGTCCACCAGGTTCCTCTGTCCATGAAATTTTCCAGTTAAGAATACTCGAGTGGGTAGCCATTCCCTCCTCCAGGGGAATGTATGTCTCCTGCATCTCCTGCTTTGGCAGGGAGATTCTTTACCTCTGCTCCACTTAGGAAGTTTCAAGAGTGAATTAAAAGAGAATAAATGGAGATGGCAAATAAGGGACAAATATTAATAACTCTCAAGAAGTTTTGCTGTAAAAGAAACATAGAGACTGGGTGAAGGTTGGAAGGCAAGAAAAATTTAAAAGAATTTTGTTTTGTTTTTAAGTAGAAAAATATCTACATGCCTGTATTAGAGACTTTGGCAGGGTAAGGGAGCGGGTAGGAGAGAGACACCTCTGAGCTGGACTGGATACTCTTCTGTACAGTATTTTAAGAGCGCTACCCTTTGAGAGGCATGAAATTGCCTCAGAGGGGATTCAGTTTTCTCCTGGAGTAAAACGTTGGAAGCAATTTGAGGAAGAGGGATGCGGACAAGGGGTTTTTTCTAGTGATGGATTATGAATTCCAAAGATCATAGTAAAAGGCTTTTAAATGTTAGGGAAGGATGGCAAATGAGACAGACAGAGTTCTCTAGGGATTAGAGTAAAGGATGAGGGATGACCTCTATGTCTGGAGTTCCTTGAAGTGACTGACATAAACAGAAGTCAATGAAACAGTAGGTCCCGATGGACCCAAGGCAAGTACTGGTGAATCAGTTTGTTCTTGGGTCTCGGGAGAGCTGAGTGTCTTGGTATCTCTTCTTCCCACCTTTAGGTTTGGCAGACACAACTCAGCATTCTGCCAAATGGTGTCCTGAACAGTGGCCTTAATCTTCTACCACTCAGACTTCAAGGATGTTGCTCATCCTCCAGTGCAGCAAAAGAGGACAGACATTTTTTTTTTTTTTCATGTTTTCACTTCACTGCTTTAAAAAGGCAGCTCTGTAGGGCTATGAGATTGGTCAGGCAGCCCACACTGCCTATGCTCTGAGCATTCACCTTTCATGGAACTGATTATTTGGTAACATTCTCTTGTTGCATTTCAAGAGAGATTTTCATGGGAAATGCAAGATGCATTTTATTTCACCTTGTTTTAGTAAAATCTACAGTATCATCAAATAAAAGCCTCTCCCCTCCCCAACACTTCCCTGCCATGCTTAAACAGAAATCAGGGCAGCTATAAATTCAGAGGATGTTTGCACTTCATAGGGAGGTTTTTCACTTTCCACACTTTCACCTCTGGAACAAATGTTTTCCAGAAATATTTCCTAGACAGCAGAGATGAGGGAACAAGAAAGGCAGTCCCAGATAGAGCATAAACACTATGTAAAAATGCTTTACTATGTGGTAATTATATTGACACACAGTTTTATGTTTTAATAAAAATCTAAATGTAGTACAAAAGTCACTCCAAGGAGAGTTCAGAGCTTCTACTTTGAAACCACAAACTAGAGTTTTTAAATTAGAGAGAGATATTCTTAAACCACTCCTTGGAACTTCCAAGTGGCTGAGCATGTTTGCCAGAACTGGGAGAGGCAAACTGCTCAAGAAATTTCCCTAGAAATAGAAGAAGTGTTTGCTTAAATTGGAGCATTGGTTGGCATCTTCTCTGGGGTTGAAAGGTTGACAAAAAGATTTTAGAGTAGATAATGGCAAGTTGTGTTGTGTCCATCTATGTGTAAAGATGAGATGAAAGAATTCCAGCTATAACAGACTTTGACATGTGCAACTGCTTACTTCTGAAGACTGACTTTTGTTTCACTAATGAGACTGGAAGTGACACGTGACCACATGATATAAGGGCATATGCAGAAGCCTGCCATGTCTGTCAGGGCCTAATATCTCTGATTGCAATCTATGAGCATTTCTAGTTCACCTCAGTTCAATTCAGTTCAGTTGCTCAGTTGTGTCCAATTCTTTGTGACCCCATGGACTGCAGCACACCAGGCTTCCCTGTCCATCACCAACTCCTGGGGCTTGCTCAAACCCATGTCCATTGAGTCAGTGATGCTCTCCAACCATCTCATCCTCTGTCATCCCCTTCTCCTCCTGCCTTCAATCTTTCCCAGCATCAGGGTCTTTTCCATTGAATCAGTTATTTGCATCAGATGGCCAAAGTTTTGGAGCTTCAGCTTCAGCATCAGTCCTTCCAATGAATATCCAGGATTGATTTCCCGGACTCTCAAGAGTCTTCTCCAACACCACAGTTCAAAGACATCAATTCTTTGGAACTCAGCTTTCTTTATGGGCCAACTCTCACATCCATATGTGACTACTGAAAAAAACCACAGCTTTGACTAGATGGAACTTTGTCAGCAAAATAATGTCTCTGCTTTTCAATATGCTGTCTAATTGGTTATAGCTTTCCTTCCAAGGAGGAAGAGTCTTTTAATTTCATGGCTGCAGTCACAATTTGCAGTGATTTTGGAGCCCAAAAAAATAAAGTTCACCTAATGACATAAAATTTCCTTCCTCTCCATAGTCCCAGAAGTCATAACAGGGGACATGGAATCAGCCATGGCAGTGGACCTGAACCCCTGGGTAGAATATGAATTCAGAGTGGTGGCCACCAATCCAATTGGGACTGGAGATCCAAGCACTCCATCTCGAATGATCCGCACAAATGAAGCAGGTAAGAATATTAGAGGGTCAGAATTCTATTGGGTATGCCCCTAATTGCTTTTTAAAATTTTACTTATGTTTAATTAAAGGATAATTGCTTTACAATATTGTATTGGCTTCTGCCATACATCAACATGGATCAGTCATATATATATATATATATATATCCCCTCTCTCTTGAACCTCCCTCCACATTCTATCCCATCCTGCCCCTCTAGGTTGTCACAGAGTCCTGGTTTTTGTTCCCTGAGTAATACAGCAAATAGTCACTTTTAAAGCAATTTGAATTAACCATTATTGCTTTAGTGTACTTTTTCCAAATTCATTTACCTGGACATCACAAAACTATTTCCTTTAAGATAATTATTTCATTTTATTTGTTTTCAGAACTTTTTCTCCTTTTATCCACAAATACAGGTGTCTAGATGCTTCCATTTCCTCCCAACCCTTGTACTTATCTTCAAGTTAAGTTGAAGATGTTAGTTTCTGAAATTCAAGCTGTTAGTTTCTTCTTCTAATTATGTACTCATTCAATATAGCAGATCCATAAAATTCAGAATAGATTGGCTCACCCTTTTTTCCTCCAGTGACAGCAGTTATCTCTAATTATAGGCACTTTCTTAAAATTCTTTATGTTTCCTTCACCATCTGACCTAGTATAAATTATACTTTGAAAAGGCAAATTTTGCCTTAACTTGACCAACTTAGAAAACACCAGCATGCTTCCAGTCTTTTAGAATAATGTGTTTCTGACAGAACATTTATAAAGACCACATAAGGAAAATTAACAGCTTTATTTAAAAACAAATTTTAAGGTATCTTGTTTATCACTTGGAAGAAGCAGAATTAAAAAGTTGTTAATAGAGTTTTGATTACTTTGGACAAAGTCTTATTGAGATTTATCCTTTATGACCCTATTAAATTGTATGTAAAACATATTTGGTAAGGGACGAGTTTAGGCAAACATAGATATCAACAATGTTGATGAGAATAACTAAAACAACAGAGAAATGAAGAGGGGGTAGATTACAGATACAAGAGGGAGAAACATTAATGTCTTTACACTCAATGATAACGTGAATCTCAATCATTACAATATAAGTACAGTAAGGGTGAGAATTTTGTCTTCTTTGTTCTCTGTTTTATTGTTCACCTTGAACAATGTCTGGCACTGGTAGTATGTCTTTGTTGAAAGATTAAAAGAGACTGTTAGTTTCCTTTCCTTTATATGCTGCTACCCACATCAGGACTTAGGCCAGAGAAACATGTACATAGAGGACTAAGAATCAACTGTGTACATTTTGTATCACAATTATTGAATTGGACCAAAAAATGTGATTTGTGACTTCTTAGAAATCGAATGCAGTTTAAAAAAATTAAACTATCAAAAGTGTTGGTTCTTTCACTAAAATGCACTGTCTCATTCTTTAAAAACAGAAAGAAAGAAAAGAATCAGAAAGTGAGAACAATCATTACATAATGTGAGAATTACATAATTCTCATAAAGTGAGAATAATCATTAAAAAGATGTTCAAATTCTTTTCATATAAAAATTAAGCACCAAAAAAATTAAAAATAGAGTAGCCTAATACATTGGAAAAGATTCATTCACAGAAAAATCCAACTTTCTGCTTTTGTGCTTTGCCAATTACAAGTTGTTTTTTCTTGCTACATGTTCAATAGTGTGAATTTTAAACATTAATTGCCCGGTTGGATTTTTATGCATTCATAAAATCAGCCATGCTTTCATTGTGTACAGGTGTTCATTAATTAAGAGTATAACAGGTTAGTTGTTCCTCATTTTATGTACTCACTGTGCAGATATTGAAATGACTGCCAACATTAGTACTTAGGCTCACATATTTTCTAAAAAGCACTGCCTTACTTTGCATATTGTTAATTGTGTTTAAACAAAGGCAAAGATTACTGCCTAATTCAGATGCTCTCTATAAATATTCATTTCAAAAATAAATAATCCATTTGGGATGACTAATCCTTTTAGATTTTCAATAGTATAAACCTCTTTGTGCTATTAAAAAGTACTTTAACAAAAACATTGTCACATTTCAAGCTAAATCGTATTCAGATGATGCACTTTTAAAAGACTTGCCCCTCATCTATTTCTGCTGCTACTTCCATCGTATAGTGCCTGTCTCTCCATTTTATCATGAGTTCTATATACACGACATACTCCAGTCCATTAAAGCCTTATGGAAGAGAAGAGAAATAGCATGAAAATGCATGAAATATTCTTTTGAAAATGAGTTGAGGAAGGTTGTACCGTGCACTTTATGCTTCTTGTGCTATGGTAACACACAAGGCTAGAGCTACTAATGGTGTTGAAACAAGTGTTGAGTTTTGTCCCTGTTTTGTCAGGCAGCACAGATTAAAAGGGACACCAACATCCTGAGACATCCTCTCAAGTGATGCACTCTGCCTCTATTAAGTACATGTCCTGTATTTTAAAAGATGATGCTGTTCTAATGGACCAAGTAATCTTTGAAAAGCAATGGAGCTGCTTGGAAGAGAAAAGGTCTCACACTCAGGATATTGAGTTGAAAGCTTTATGTCCCTTTAAATTCTCCTCTTTACTAGAATATTCTAAACCCGAAGCACTTTTAGTAAAGTTATTTTACCTTAGATTGTTTCTTGTCCACATGTCCCAAAAGGTTAAATTTTCTTTGCAATATCCTATATATGAAAATTTTGTAAGTCAAAATAACATCAAGTGAAGAATTTTCATTTCATTTAGTGCTCAATTTCTTTGAAATTTTCACTTCAGTTTTCATTTTTCACCTTTTTTCATAGAAGTGAAAATCTCTTCAGATTTCTTTCAGTTAGTGAAGCAGTTACTAATGTAGATAAAGCAAAGTACTGTAAAGATAACTTTTGAAAAGCAAGGGATACCTGTATATATTTACACTTTAATGTATGCTTATATTTATTTATTTATAGTTCAATTTTCTTACAAGTTTTAGTAAGTTAGGGACAGAGAGAGAGAGAAAGGGATAGATATAACTCTGTGTTTAATTTTGGAAATGTGTTACAATCTTTACTATGTTAAGTTTGTATTGAATAGTGGGAATCTTTTTATACCATTTAAAAATAATCAAGAGAGAAAAATCATACTTTAAGAAATGAATTTGAAATATACATTGTCATAGAAGTAGCAAAATATGTAAATATGAATTTAGCAACAGCAATTCTCATTTAATTGAACAATTCTCTTATTTAATTTAATCTTAGTATTCCATAAGTTACATATTTATAACAGCAATTGTTGAAAGATAGATGAAAAGGAGAGAAGATTGTGTTCACTATGTAACCTACAACTTAGAAAGATTTGGTTTTCTCTGTTGTATAAAATTTCTATTATCAAAGCTCTTGATATAAATCTCAATACTTGCTTTTTTATTTCAAATTGTAATGAATTGATAGAGAAAGAAATAAAATAAGATACTGCCTAATACCTATAATTAAGAGTTTCAGGTTCAGAGTTAGTTAAATCTGGATTAATGTTCTTCTCTGCCACTTACTATCAATAAACATAGGTAAGCTGTATGCACTGTTCAAGGCTCAATCTTCTCACTTGTAAAATAGAAATAATATAGCAATCTACTCCCTTCGACTATTGTATTAAATAAGATAATGCAGGTGAAGAGCTTGGCACACATGGTAAGTGCTTAATACTAGCTTGTCATTACTATTAATTTTTTATCATGAATTTAAATATTATTACTTTATTAAGTAGAAATTTAAACAATAGTGATCATGCATGAGTTGCCATTTTCATATAGAGAAGAATTTTCAGATTAAATATCTGTTTGTCAACATAGTAAGAGTCATCTAGTCCTTGGCTTGTAGTGGGCTTCTTTAAGACACCATCCTGTTGAGAAGTCTCCACAGTAGACTGTGCACCATCCAGCCTGGGCCCTCAGCCCAGCTGAGTGGTCAGGGAGTGAAGAGAGGCTTTCACAGTGTCGTGCACAGTAGGCGGTGCTTCTTGGCTGCAAGCCCTTCCTCACCTGCATGGAAGGCCTCTCCTGGCTGCTTTTTTGACTAGCCAGGGAAAGATTGAAGGCAGGGGGCAGTTTATAGCAAAACAAAGTGGAACAACTTGCTTAAGCAAACTGTTGCAAATTCAATAACTTTCCAGTTTCTCACTGCATTATATTCTGCCCTGTCATTCTCTTTGGACGTTAATATGGAAAATGTCACATATATTTTTTGGCCAAAGCAATGGTACAGAATCCACCTGCCAATGCAGGAGACGAGGGTTTGATTCTTGGGTTTGGAAGATCCCTCGAGAAGGAAATGGCAACCCACTCCAATATTCTTGCCTGGAGAATCCCATGGACAGAGGAGCCTGATGGGTTACAGTCCAGGGGGTCACAAAGAGTCGGACACAACTGAGCAACTAAATAACAATTTTTGGCCAAATAAAATATACACTTACATTTGAGAGGCTAATGCTCAACCAGATAAATGAGTATCAAGTAAGCAATCAGATGAATATATTTTCTAGCCTTAGCAGTTTCTGTACTATATCATGTTACAGCTAAGTAACTGGTTTATTAAACATGCTGAATTCTGTAGAGTTTAAACATATTAATAAGTTTTATTCTTCTCCCACCATTGTTCTCCAGTACACTCCATCTCAAGTCTGGCTTCAGGCCCAACTGTTAATTTATCTAAAGTTTTTTTTTAGGTATTAGGACAGTCTCATTTTTCAGGTATTAAAGAATTCCATTTTAACTTATTAAAAACTTGCATCTCATATCCAGTTCTGTGCTTCTATCCCTCTATCCTAGTGCAGGCTTGACTAAAGGTTACGATTTCTCTTTTCTTGCTTCTTTATGCTTCCCCTCTGACCTTCCAAATTCTATTCCAACTTCCCAGGTCAGAAAAGAAGAAGGTGGAAATCTACTTCAGGTGTTGCAATTTGTGGTTCTCAAGCAAATATTGAGTGCCCCATGAGGTGGCAATTGTCCACATCCTGTTCCTTTCTCT